GTACGGGAGCCCTTCTCCTGCCCCGGCAGCGCACAGGGGCTCTGACCGGACAGGTCCCGGCTTCGCAGCGCTGCCCGGGGCGGGAAGCGGGTTTCCCCTTGCCGCGCTCACACCGCCGACCCGGCTCCCCCACCCCGCTGAGATCGCTGCTGCTCCGAGTGTCAAACCAGCTGCCGGCCGTGGCTGGTAGCAGCATCTCTGGTCAGGCCGTGCCCGGGGCCCTGAGCCAAAATCCCTCCCTGCCCTGGCCCGCCAGACCACTCCACTTCACACATCTTCAATAGGTAGAGCTGCAGACACTGCCCCTGCTGCGCTGTCTGAAAGGAAAAGGCTACAGGGATTCTGCCCCCTTCATCCTCCCCTGACTCCATCAACTAGAAAGAAGATATTGGTGATATTGGTGCAACAGGACAGAATGGAGCTCTCTTTTGGGTAGACACTGAAGGCAAGGTCATTCTCTTGCCTGCTTGGAGCAGTTGCTGAAGCCTGCCGTGGGCTTGCCGCGCGAAACAGAAATCCCTTTTGGGCAGACAAGGGCCTCGCTCAGCACCTTGCTCAGCAAGGTGACACTGTGGTGTGACCCTGCCCCTGGACACTGGCCAGGATATTAAGAACTGACTAGTGATTTGGGGTGCCTAACCAGAGGCTTTGAAAGAGCCCAGGTTTTCAGCAAGTGTGGAAACCCCTGCAGCTGTATGAAAATCACAGCTTTGCCAGGGACTTCATAGCGGGCTCTCACGGAAACCCCTGTAGCTGTATGAAAATCACAGCTTTGTCAGGGACTTCATAGCGGGCACTCAAAACCACAGGGCAGTGTTGAAACCTCTGCCCCTCCCCTCACAGTGAAGATCAAGGCGTGAACTTCTCTATCAGAGCAAAAGTGACAGCCAAGGAAGCATAGGGAGGAGAGCAGCATTATAACCATGGCTCCTCCGGGCTGGAATAAATGCCGAAACAGCAAGAGCGCCGATCCCTTCCCCATCGACTGGCGCTGCACTTGCAGACATGAGGAGGAGAGGCATCATCTATTTGGGCTTAGGCTTAAGATGCTCAGCAGCCAGGCGGAGGCGAGTCAGCCCACAGGAACACTAGATTTGTATCTTATACGCTACGTTAATCAGAAGCCCCTACTGTCAAGTGAGGTGTCTTGTTTTTTCAATGGTTACAAGATATTCATGCCCTTCCTAGTGCCAAGTTGCCAGAGAAATGTACTGGCTGTCATGGACTTAACATTTCCCTAATATTTAAAGTAATACGTTTGAAGAATCAATATAGTTCTAAAAATAAAAATGAATGAGAAAATGGGTTTGGCTCCCCCAAACTAAGCAGCCCCTCAGGAATGACATAGGTAGAGCTGGCTGAAAGGCTGCAGACATTACATTAAACAGGCAAGGGGGGCAGGACCTCAGCTGGGCTTAAGGGACTCAGGAAAACCTGGAGGCAGAGGGGATGCACACAGTCGTTCCCCTTCTTGCAACAATGACAATGCAGCTTCCCACCGCCGGGACCCAGCCCCCACCCTGCCATTAGAAATAGCAAGACTTGTACTAAAGGCATTCAGAGAAGAAGGCCTGAAACACCTGGACTGAAAAAAAACCCAAGTACCTCACAAGTGTCCTGAGAATTTTATTTTCATTCGGACCATGTATTCCTTTTGAGACAAGGAGCAGCCGAACTTCAACAGATTACACCACAGCACCACAACTTCACTATACTTTACCTCAAATAACTCAGGACTGATTTCCTACAGTGCATTAGCCATTGTAAACCAATGACTAGGAACCATGTGTTACACATTCTTTTCCCACTGGTCCATCAGAAGAGGAAATATCTGCATTGCACAAGTAAGAACACAGATCGGATCGGCAGACTGAATGAAAAAGTTCATCCTTCAGCCAGCTCGCAACAGGAAAGGCCCGTAGCCAAATCTCAGCACAGAAAAGTACCAGCCACGAGGTGAAGTTTCTTAGACCGTTTATTGTTCGACTGTGCACATCTTAGGCCCGTTTCCTCCTGGCAGTTTGATGTTGACCACACCAACTACCTTTATGGTTGTTTGGACACAGGACAAGAAATTTGTCCTTGTGGAGCTGGAGGTTAAACACGAGCACCCTGAAGCCTTAACGTACAGATGCAAATATATTTATTGCACCACAAACAGCCTCAAATTGGCCCCACAAGCTACATCCTATGCAAAGCTACAGCCAAACCACAAACAGAACCGAGCACAAACCTGCATTTCTACACTAACGCCGAGAACTGCTCAACGAACCAAACAAGAACACCCTATACACTGCCTTGGATTGCATCTATTTTGATCCACTGCTTAACTAGCAAAGCCAAACAACCTACGAAACCCTTCATTGCTGCATATCAAAATGCACAACTAGCACAAAGCCTCAACCTCCCTGCACACAATCAGGGCCAACCCAAGACCGAGTGCACGGTGCAATTTGAAGCGTGCGGCTGCTTGCTCCTAATGGGTGTTTGAAAGTGTAGAGAGGCACTCAACAGTCTCCATCTGAACTTCTCTAAGCAGACATTAAACATTCCCCTTCCTCCTGCCCACCCCAACCCACACTTCTTGTTCCCGAGCTTTCTTCTCTTGCTTCCATTCCTTCTTCTCCGGCTGCCCTTCAGGGACCTGCGCGAGTACACAAAACAGAACTGGAGTTGGCTGGCAACGAAACCCACACCCCAGGAAAAATAGAGTAGAATGTAGCTCCTAGTACCCACCGTACCCTTGAGATTGGTGTCCTTTAAAAACAAGGGGGATGGCTGCCCTTCAGGGACCTGCGCGAGTACACAAAACAGAACTGGAGTTGGCTGGCAACGAAACCCACACCCCAGGAAAAATAGAGTAGAATGTAGCTCCTAGTACCCACCGTACCCTTGAGATTGGTGTCCTTTAAAAACAAGGGGGATGTGACATACCTCCAGTTTACTAAAAGAGGACGAGTACAGCCCTAGCAGTTACCCGTGTACGACAACAGCAGGACCTAACACACGAATCCTGTGTGTGCGGCTGCCCCAGTGCTCCCACCTTCCACAAGGCGCTAATCACAAGGTCGACAACTTGGGGATGCAACTTGCAGAGAGGACAGACACCGTGTCCAGACTCCCTTACCTTTACGTCCCTTACGCTGAGCGGGCGGGGATTTCTTCCTTCCTCAGTTGGTTGTCTGCCGTGTTCTCTGCTTAGAAGGAAGTGTCAGGAACCCAACTTTCCGGGGCCCACCGATTCCAAGGTCCACGGCTCAGACACGGAGTAAAACTGAAAATACAAAATAAAATAAAAAAGACTCTTCGAAACTCCCTTACTTTTCCTGGGTTTCCATGGTTTTCTTCCCTCCTTGGCAGCTGATGCCTGCTTGTGTGTCATCTTTCCTGCTTCTCCTACCAGGGCCTATACTAAACAGAGACAGACGCTGACCACCTTGGAGGATGGGTCTGTGGATCACAACTTGGCTCCCTTTCTTACCTGAATCTGCTGCCGATCTGTCCTCCATCGATGGAAATGGGGAAGTGCAGATATCTGTGGGCTCAGCTGCTGACATCCGGGCCAGCCAGAAGGAGAGTGCGACGGGCAAGGACTCTGCACAGAACTGCTAGGGCGGCACCATGAACGGTGACCGCCAACACCGAAAACACTGCTTACAGGGCAGTGCTCCCTGCACAGCTGGCGGCTGGGGCATGAAGCCCAGAGACAACCTGTAAAGCCCTCAGTGCCACCTGACAAGTGCACCAAGTGGTCTCGATCAGGGGTCAAAGCTGCCCCATGTCTGGGGACATCAGGGCCACGACTGCAGCCTCCTGCCAAGGGAGCCACAGACTGCAGCCTCCTCCCGTGCAGCCCTGTTTACAGGGTGCAGGGGGTATCTCATAGTGCCAGGAGCAGCAGAACAGAGGAGCAGAGACCTGGACCTGAGTTACAGGAAGGTCACTAAGCCTCGGGATCCCAATGCACTCAATGTCCTCCAGAAGCCTGCAGCCTTCTCTGTAGTCTGTGGGCATCGTCCGTCCCTGGCCAACCTCACCAAGTGGAACGAGACCTGATACGAATCATGGGGAGCGCACTGCGGGAGGGGCAGCACTGAGCTGGGTTTCCCCCATGCAGGGTGCGGATGCCCCATGACACGTGTGATACCCGCACTAAAAACACACACTCGTGTGCGGTGCTGTGCAAGGGTGAGAGTTGAACACCTACATCACTATCGCCATGGACAGATACAGAGGGAGAGACGTAGTAACAGGATCACTGGGTTGAGGGTGTGTAACACACACACACACACACACACACACACACACACACACACGGTATACGCACATAGCCGTACCGGATACATCTGTGCACAATGTAAGGTTTCCGGAGCACGCACGCACTAATAACACCGTCCCTTCAGCTCCCCGCTCTCAGCTTCACACCGTTGACACCGAGGTCCCAAACTCCCCTGGAACGGAAGCGATGTCCGGCGCTGCTCCCGGAACCGCAACACGTGTTCATGTCTTTCTCCGTAAAGAAGGGAAAGCTGGTGCCTGGCGAGGCGCTCGCTGGAGAGGTTTCAGCGCCGGCCGAGAAGCAAAGGCCCGTCTTGCACCCCCTGCACCACCGCCCAGCACGTCGAGGAGCCAGGGAGGCTGCGCAGGCGGCAGGCGGGGAGGAAAGGGGCCCCGGGACAGACAAGCAGCTTCGCGCTGCAGCACCCGCCGCAGAGGAGACCCCACGGGCCCCGCGCACGGCGGGACCTACCCAGTCTCCCGG